ACAAGCACAGTACAGTACAAAGTACAATTCAAACATACCGGTTTACCACGACGGTTTGAGCTACCTTCTGTAGAATCACACATACTATTATAGATATCTAATAATTGCTGCTCCTGGTCAATACTGAAAACAAGGAACAATGAATAACAAACCCTCGTCACAAATGTACTTGGAATGAGGAAATGCAACACAAGTGAAAGCGTAGTTTGAGTAGGGAGGGGGGGAGGGAGGAAGAGGGGGGGGGGCACATATAATAATGCTAGTCATAAGGAGAAATTACCACGGTGACGTTCTATACCGTGTTACACCAGTAAGAAACAATTTTTCAACTGAGCTAAAGAGGGAAATCGAGATCTCAGTTTTCGCACAAGGTAATCATCCTGCCCACCCTACCCACACCTGTGTGTTATCCTCCTGAGACCTAATCAAAAGAACTACAATCCCTGGGCGCACAGCTGGCCGGTACCCATCCTCCTTTTTGTCTTCGATACCGTGGTAGTATGACAAGGATTAACGCGTAACAACGAGTTCTTTTTTGTTATACTTGTACCAACGCTGTTATGTGTGCCCGACCCTCTCTCCCTCCCCCCACCCTCCCAAACTACATTTTCACCTACAACACATTTTTGTAAATTCCCACAATAATTATTGAACCATATTGTGCATACCTTATCAGAACAGGTTTGGTACTACGATCAGGGAGTGGAAGGCGAGGTTGTGCAGGATGAGCATTACTAAAAGGAAATTTGCTAAACCATTCTCAAACCAACCTCAAACTCATAGTTCTTAGAGAATTAATAAAGTTGGTCAGCCGGGAGACGTTGAAAAAGCACGCATACATGAACCGTGTATTCTAATAAATGAGTATGAAATGAATGACTTTTAGTTGGTTATCCTATCAAACAAAAGTTTGTGAAAGAACGCATTACTAATAACGAAAAGCATGTGAAGTTTGTTTAAACCCCAATATATGAGAGAAAGATGGGGATGGCTTACCTCTTCGGTACGGATAGGGGGGTGATGCGGGCAGCTTCAATCTTACTCTCTTGGGCTGTATCATACTGCTGAAAACCATAAATCCATTGAACGGAAACGACGACAATTTAAAAGTTGTAGTTTCAAAAAATCACCAGAAATAGAGATATTATAATAGGTAAACTTTCAGAATGAGCGAACACGAACCTTCACATAACTTGCTGTGACGGTTGGTGCTTGCTACAAACTATTCAAATAAAAACGCATACACTTACTCCGTAATTTGCATGTGGAACCAGAAAAAGCGGAAAACGAACAATTGCAAAGAAGAGGAAGACCAACACCAAGCTTTCGTCCTATTGTCTCCGCTATTGTGCGCATGCGTTTGCTCCACTACGCTTGGAACAGATATTTTGTTGGGAGAATAAGCACGCACATTGAATGGCGCTATTCTTTTGTACTTTACATAGTCAATCTCTTGGAAATATTTCGGCCCTACTCCGTTCCATACGCTCTCTTCAGGTTGTGGTCATTCAACATATTTGATGCAAAGTATTAGTAGTGTTCTAGACTTGTGGGAGCGAGCTAGACCGCCAAGATTGAATGACTTATGCATAACAAATCCCTTTTTTGATCCGATGAAAGTAGTTCAAAAGAGGCAAAAGCACAATGACACAATTCGCAGGAAAAGACTTCCCCAAAATGCAAGTTACGAACATGTTTAAGCATAGCCCTGAGGAAAAATCCTCCCATTCCTCTATCTGTCTAGCTCCTTACCTAAGACGTGTAAAGCTTGTAAGAGATCCAACTGGTTGCAAAACGCACTACATTCTCACGTCTACTAGGGGTTGCGACCAATTTATGGAATAAAAAAGAGCTTATTTTATTCAGAACTTGTTTGCGTCCCCGCTTAAGCATATCTATTACAGAAAATAGGAAGAAATAGGTAATTGCTTACAGAGCAAAATTGGTCTCAATTACCGAGAGAAAAGAAAACGAGCAGTACAACAAGCACCACTATTTCGAAAAAATCACCTGGTTTGGTTTGTTGGACCTATCAACCATCGGCATTCGGGGAGGCATCGATGGATGCGATCCAACAGTCACCGATGGATGATATCCTGGGTCACAGAATCTATTAAATTTCGAAGAGAGCGGAGATGAAATAACAGTACTAGTTTACCAGATGCAATAGGTTGACCGACACATGGATCACGCTTTGAGATATCAGATGGCTGCTGTGAAGGTGGTGTTGGAACAGAGGGTGGTACTGAAAACTTTGCTAACAGTCTACAGCTTAATGTTTCCACACTCATTGTTACCTATGGTTTTCTGAGTACATGAAGGCGGTTGCGACGTTGGCGCCGGTAATTCACTGTCTCCCGCAGATTTCAGCGATACCGGAAGTGATGGCGGTACCGGAGTACCTGCAATAAAAACCAACCGACGGCTTCGACTCGCAGTTGAAACAAAAACTATTCCAGTACGATAATTAACCACTGCAAAATTACCAGCTGCAGTGCTTTGAGGTATCAATGGTGTGTCGTTAATTGACGAAGTGGAAACTGCCGAGTCGTAAGCCGAGAACGTTGTTTCCATACGTCTAGTGCTTTCAACTGCAACATTGAAGATGCTTCCGCGACAAGCTTGGTAAAACTAGAACTTTAGAATAGATAGCAAAAGCGGAACCAACCATCTACGTCTTGGGCCCTTATCATCGACGCATTAGGTATGCCTTTCAGTGATTGACTTTGTGGGATGTCATTAGGGACAACACCAGCAACTGGCCGAGCAACACGAGGTTGTTGAACTGATGGTCGTGGTAGAGATAGATCAGGGTAGTCCAACATCAAGCACGCTAGAAACAGTATTTATATTCAAGACGTGGTTAAAGACTTGAAACACACCTTTTTTGTAGTTGATAACCATGTGATCCAGTTGATCCTTCGGTTCATTACGTTTCAAGGTGCCATCACTTTTCGTATACATCGGGTATTGATCCCGCCAGTTATCAAATCCACCATCCATGAAGAGCGGTGATGATTTCGGATGGTGTTCGTGATTGTACTAATCATGTCAGTTAGTTAGTTAGTTTGAAGTAGTTTGAGTCACTTTTTCAATTTTTGACACTACTTTAAAGCAATACCTCATACAAAGCCATAGAGAGTAGATGAGCCTTTGAGCCGCGCAGAGGCTGCCCATTTTTTAATTCCACACCACTGTCGCTCATCAGTACCACGAGATCACACGATCCAATTCGATGTAACAAAGGGCGCTGACCGACTTCCAACTGGTTGCGCAGCGAAGTAAATATTAAGCTTAACAACAAACATGTCTGAGGATTAAATACTGCTCCGTCGTACAGGTTCAACCACAACAAACCTGACGGCAAATCAGTATATAAACACTCACAAGGTTGGCGATTTAGGTGCAAAACTTCATTCTCGGACGGGACTCGAACCCGCACTTGTGCTTGCTGCGCTCTATCCCTTACGCTACCAAGACCCCGCTTGCCCTCGCCTTCTTATGGCCTATATGCCACAGCTCATCAGCACTCACGATCACAACGTTTTGAGCCGGTCGGCCAATACCAGCACTGAGCCGCTGAGATGAAAGTTTTTCTTGATATTACTTGTTTCGACTTGATGTTTTGTTAATTATACTGACAAAATAACAGCAACTAAGAAAGCATCAAGTCAAAACAAGTTATACCAAGTAAATCTTTCAGCTTAACGGTTCTGTGCTGATACTGGCCGACCGGCTCAACACGAGTGCTGAAAGGCTATGGTATATAAGCCATTACGAAGGCGAGGGCAAGCGGGGCGTCGCTAGTGTAAGGATGAGCACGGTGCCCGGAAAGCACAAATGCGGGTTCGAGTCCCATCCGACGCTGGTCTTGCCCAAAAATCGCCCACCTTGTGAGACTTTCGGAACGCGTAATAAGGCGAAATAACAGCAGTTAACAAAACAAGTCAAAACAAGCAGTATACAAACACTGCGAAATGACCAAATTTTAAGGGGAATGGATGCGAAAATTATGTGCGAAGTACTGTATTCAAATTCTATGGGACTAATATTCTAAATACAGAAATCAAACAGTTTTCAGAAGAAATTGGAACTGTGGTGCAGCAAACATCACCTTGCTTTCACTTCAGTGCGAATGTATAGTGAATTGCAGCACTACTGGGCTCACTATAAATCATTGTCAGGACACCCACAACTTGATGATACGGAATAGTAATTGCAATAAAAGCGGGACGGCAATTGAAGAGAAAGCAACAACCAAAGCATCACAGATGGTCAATAGACTATATTCAGTTTCTCTAGTATGATTGCTCAGTAAAAAAAGTGAAAAATCAATTCTGTGGACACAAATGAAGCCACTATCCAACTACTTATAAGGGAACGCTGCCGCTCGCATCAAGTAAACGTTTCATTGCGTCAGTGAAACTCTAGACAAAAAACTGGCCTGCTGATCTAGTTAACTGCCGTTTCTCGCCGCCCCTCGCAATGCGACAAATTAACTCAGCAAACTTGGAAATAAAGAGATCGGTATCATGGTAATTAAAAATAGTGTCGTTCAGCTTACCCATTAACAATCAAGTCGTACGGCACGGTGACCACGGTAATGACATGCTCATTTCTATAGTTAATTAGCTCGGACTTGTCCTTTCGAAAATCAACGATGACTGCAGTCTTTTTGGGTTGAGCCTGCTCCACCATCCGAACCAACTCCTTAGGACTAATCAGGATGCTGGAAGAGGGGCGAACCACTGAAAATTCAGAAATTTCTAGAGACATTCATGTAAACTTCCCACGTCATCCGTATTGAGAACTGAAGCCGAAGTCTAACAAACACTACCAATAACGCAAAGTTTTCCAGCGTACGAGATCTAACTCCCTCAGTTTTTAACGCTACCAGTTGGGCTATGCACGCTACCGCGCGCGTCACATTAATTAATCAATCAACTGATCTGGATACGCAGTGCTACGATTATGTAGTCAAAAGCACCACTCGACATAGAGGCTACTTTGATGATTTACTTACAAAACTCTGTGGTAAGGTGAAAAGAGCTCATTCTAACAGTTGGATGTGCACACCACCTTTGTGAGCAAAGTCTCTTGAAAAAAGGCCCAGTGGCTCTTTATACCTCAAGGAGAAGCAGGCTGCAAAAATAGGTGGCTGTTATCGAGGGAACTTTTTCTCTAACCAATAAGAAT